CCTGTCTAGCTCTGCCTGCTGTCAACAGCGGCATACTAACCCCCCCCCCCCCACCCCCCCAATGTGGACCAGTCGCCTCCACGCCCCCACTCAGGATGGCCACTGTGGACGGGACACGGTTCTGAGGGAGCCCGTGCTGTATCGAGAAGCCCCTTCCCCATGTGAGTACCATCCCGGCCTGTTCTGCGGGGGGGGGGGAGGCATCCAAAGCGGCGGCTTGCATTAAATCGGCTGGCAGTCCGCCTCCTGGCTGCATTCCACATGCCACATGCTCTCTGTCATACATGATGCCCGCTGTATCTGTGTGTGGGGGGAGGCTGGAGAGAAGTCCTCCAAAGGGGATGGTTATGGATGCACCCCCTGACCCCCCATCCTTCCCGCGTCCCAGGCTCTGCTGGCTCAGTCCCAGCGGCTTGGCTCCCCGGCCCCTTTTTCCGTAAACAGCAGCAGCTGCTGTCGGCGATTAGCGCCGCTCTCCTGCCGCCGCACTCGCACAGCGCTGCCGCTCCTCCATGATCCCCGCAATTAGCTCCCTAATTGGGTCTAAATAACGGGGAGGGGGCGGTGCCGTAGTAGGGTGGGTGGGTGGGGGGGGCAGCAAATAAACAAAAGCACCAGGAAGACCCTGCTGAGAATACCAGTTCAGAGAGCCATGCTCCCTGAACCACCCCCCTCCCTCATACCCGCCCCCCAGTGACACCTGACATTTCACCCAATGGCTTGTCGAGAGCGGAGGCAGCACCAGAGTCGAGGCCGTGAGATCGGAGCGACATCTTTTCACCCCTTTCCGAAGCCTGTTAACTATGGCTTCCGTCAACCACCAACGTGGCGGTCGGACCATTGCATGGCGTCTCAGGCCAGATCCGACGAATCCCTGCGGATGAGGGGACCACCTACTGTACGTGTCACACACGGTAAACATAAGAGGATCAACGTCTAGGCTAACTTTCCAGAAACAGGAAGGGAAGCATTGCTACCTCACACATGCAGGTCTGGGAGTTGAGATCCTGACTCTCCTTTGTGTTGCGTGGGACACCAAGGGACCGGTGTCCTTATATTGGCCATAGGGGTGCGCCCTGCGATGGAGGGTGTTCCCCTTCCCTGCATAGCCGGGGACAGGCTACAGGCCCTCGGTGACCCCGACCAGTATAAACAAATGGAAAATGGATGGATGCACAAAAAAGCTAGCAATAGCAACACAAATCATTGAATTCAGATTTATCATAACAGTAATATAAGTTCATAGTGGCTGTCCATTCCCTAAACTGTCATTTTTCCCTACCTTCCCCCCAATCCATCAATCAGCCAGCAGTTTACATTCACAGAGGGGCAGGGAGCCCCCACAAATGCCAGGCTGTGATGCCCAGTCCAAACCAGATTTGCCACAACTGCCTCAAGCAATCTAATTCGGTCGCTCGCTCGCCCCTCTGATTGCTGATAGTGCACGAGAACAGCACATAAACAAAATGACTGAATTTTTTTTTCTATTTCATTTTTCATGCCGGGTACATTTTTGCCCAGTGACAACCCAGCTTTAGCAGAAGTGTCGGGGGGGGGGGGGGGGGCGGAAGAGTGGGTGTGGAGTTGGGGGGTAGCAGGCGGCCCCTAGCGGAATGCACTCGTATCACATCTCATCCTCCCGGCGTCAACGCCTCCCCCCTCCCCACGCACACACACACACCCACCCCTTGAGGCTCCAGCACAGAGCTGCGGAAGAATAGAAGCACCATCTAGCGCTTCCTTTAGGCAAAAGCTCTGCAGTTTCGCCTGAGAAGCACGCTGGAAATGCATGGGCCTGCTGCGCTAACCCTGCGAGCAGCAACAAATTAGCATGCACGTGCTAAACCATTAACACTGAAGCATTAATGCAGATTTTAATTAAAACAAATTCCTGTGGTAAACATTTTGCTTGTCTAGAAATTCTTCAAGTAAAAATTACCTTGTTTGTTGTAGCCTTACTCTAAATTACAGCTGCGAATGGCATGAAAACTTTTAGATGTTTTTCTCAAAGAATTCCAAAGTCTTGTTTTCATCTAAGGCATGTGGGGTACCGGGCATTATTTCACCTCATGAAGATGATAAATATTTCATCTCAGATGTATAGCCACCGTATGGTATCGACTGTTAGAATAAACGGTGGATTACACAGAGGTCCTTGTTAGATACCTAGTAAACAAGGCAGACCAGCATGGTTCAGGGCCGAGTGTGGAATTTCAAAGCCGTAGCTCACGGGTACGAGGAAGCCAGTTGTGAGGAACCACAGCTCGTTCCCACTTGTCCTCCGGAAACCGAGAACGCTGTTACTCGCCACTTAAAAGATGAAAACAGGTTGGTTCTGTCATGTTCTGGTAAAAATGGCGTCTAGTCGACCATTTTGAGAGTCTAGACCCCAGTAGCCATCTCTAGTGTATTTTCAAAAGCTCTTTAATTGAATTTGTCTTATAATTTTCTGTGTTAGATAATGAGGGCAACCACACCTTCCTCTGTACAGCAGTGTGGGAAAAAAATCACTTAAGATGTGTCCTAATGAGGCTAAAATAATAGATTACATTTTACACACAGGGGATGAAAGGCTTAGGTCGACCATGTGATCATGTCAACTGTCCAATCCAGCAGCATCCAGTCCTCTGTCTGTGTGGCTCATAGATTTGGAACCGCATTATGATAGATGGAAGATGACAACGCTTAATGCAATTCTAATTCTGTGCTGCACAGGAAATAATTATTTTCAGTGGGACTCTGGCATTGGGCTGTAACCCAAAGCCCAATTTACAAACAAATGCTTTGAGCATTTGCAGGACATGTGAATTTGACTTTATAATTCTTTTAAACCAAATTTAGCCTCATTTAATTTTATGTAAGGCTACTATGACTGCTCTGTCTGAACCCCTTAGACAACCCTTGAGTAAATTAATTATGGAGGGGGCTCATTGGGGGCAGGGAATTAAATGGTAACTCTTTAGTATCATGTGCATTTTGAAAACGGCAGCGAAATTGAGCCTTAATTCCAGGGTGTATCATCAGGCTTCCTTGTGACCTGAAGGCACCATTCAGGCTGCAGCACTTGACTGCGGGGGATGAGGTCGCCAGGTCAGGTCCCCAGTACAGACAAGGCCGTGACCTTGGTGTAAATAAAGTCTCTTAGTGCGGCATCAAGAGAGATTACATCAGGTTAGCGAGACCCCTGAAACAAATGTGAAACACTGAGATAAGCTGGTGCCCAAAGCCTACCCTTTTTGGCTGCTTTTGCCATTGATTTAAACAGCAAATAGTGCATGTGTTAAAACAAACAGGGTATTACTTGGAATCTGTTAAGAAATGTGGTATTATTTTGGTCTGATCACCCTTCACCTCCAGGCCCTTCCAGAGGGAAAATGTTTTGGGTAGAGTGGAACTTTTAAAAGATTAGCTAAGGTCAAAGAAAGGGTCAAAGGAATACAACAAATATATTTTAGGTTCCAGTAACCTGAATATCCGTAAGTTATTCACTCAATCTGATTATGATGGACAAGGGATAAATTTAATAATACGCTACCTTAAAAATACCAATAGTTAAAAAGTTAAAGAGTCAAATTTATATAAATATTTATGCTATGGATCAGTTGGAATAGACAGACAACTTTAAGTAACTGCTTTAAAATTTTAACACAATATTTACCCGCGTATTAAATTGACCAATCAGAACCCCACTTCCGGTTGGTGGCTCAGCCAATAAAAATGAGAGTCACCTCCGCTGCGAAATCTTAATATGGTCAATAGAATATCTGACGACACGGTAGCATAATAGCTTGCCTTATACTGATAAAATTTGATGAAATACATTCTCATTATTTACTGTTTGACTACGTCTGAGAGCGAAACAAGATTCTTGAAGGCAAAAATAAGTATACTGGGTCAATGAAAGCGCGTTGAATTCCGATTTACGTTTCGACGGGTACAAACTGCAAATAACCCTTTGGAAGAAACTTTACCTTAGCGATATCATCTATGTTTTTTCTTATTAATCCTCAGAGTAAACCCGGATTCTTTTGATATTGGCGTACTGTATGCAAAAATGTTCATCCTGATCGAACACAGGTGTGTTGTTCTCCGAGGTCCCCCGGGGATAGGAACGCGTTACAATACGACAAATACTAAGCCAGGTATTTTAGTCTTCGAAAATAATAGATGACGTAACGTTATTCATAAATCAGAAATAAAAATGATAACAATTAGCCCTGAAGTGTTTTCTCTTAAAGTGTTGCATTGTGTGCAAGTAGTAACTTCTCTACTGAGACTGATGGCTAAATTGGTCCAGTTAAAGCAATAATTACTGCAGTCAAGTGACTAAGTGCTCAGTTGGAAGTAAACAGCCCACCTTCACCCGCCCTCCAGAACCAAAATTGGAACCAGGTCTTTACATGTTAATGACTATGGTGCTAAGAAGTGGTCACACATGCTGTTTTTATGATGAGTCCTCGGTGTGGGTGGATTTCAGTGATCCAGGTTTGTTGCATGTAGACTTAACATGCTGCCACCAATGTCATCTCAACAATGTTCTGTGTCTCTTTTCTGACACCCGGTGACCACAAAGTAAATTGTACCTTGTCTCGTGTTCTGCTTAACCGTGCATAACCGACAGCAGAAAGTGTGGGTGGTTGAAGAGGAGGGAGACATCCCTTCTCCAGTGGGTTGGGAGCTCATTTTTAGTAACTGATAGGCACAGTGTAGTATACCCAAAATAAAGTCCACCACCCAGGGTAATATCAGAAATATTTTCAATGGTTGTTACAGAGAATTAATCTTAAAAACAGACAGCTGACAACTAAGGAATAGTGGTTTAGGATGAGTGTCAGTTGTAATGTGCACGCTAAATCATTAGAGTGTTGAATCTACATGAATAGATTATGTTATCCCTGCTTTCTCAGTGAAGATATTGTGTAGCTCCTGAAATAATTTGGCATTGATATGACTTGTTGATAACTAAACCAATATTGGTTGGTTAGTTAGGGGGGTCTTCCACAAAGTAGGATTTCTCAGTTAGCTGGGTAACTTGAATCCTTAAGGTCAGTTGTGTGTCTTGATTGTCCTTAAGGAATGTGCCTGACCTAAACGGGACTAACATGACTTCTGGCTTAAGTTAACTCAGCTGAGAAATCATTATTCATGAAGCAACCCCTAGATATTCTGTCGGATTTAAGGTACCCCAGTTTAAATGGACTTAGTCCAGACCTATATCCGACAACATATCTTGCTAACCCAAAAATCCAGCTTCATAATACGGTCTCCAAGTTACTAATAATTATGTTTTTGTTTTAAACCAATTCAAATAAGGTGTGGCATTGGAATTAGTTGAAAGTGTCTGTATTTTGGTTACAGAACCCTAACTTGTCACCTCTTAAGCCCACTTTTCGACCAAAATGGGTCCTACAGCTCACACAGGGGAAACTCAAATGGCCAAAAGATCAATCAGCCAACAGGAAGTGGAGGGGACCACAGACCTGTCACTCAAGTTATCCAGACCAATCCCAGTGGACGATCTTACTCTAAGAGAGACCTCTGTCTTACCCTGAGGCACCTACCAACAAAGGTGAGCTTTGTATCTCAGACACCTGTGCTGCATTAGCGCTGAAATGATATTAGCAGCCATCCATAAGGATCAGCTCTGAAAGCAGATTACTTTAATCATGTTGTTTACTTGACCCATTAGCCACTTTTTATTAGAACTCAATTCATTACAGCTTTGACGATGAGACCTCCATTAAAGCAGGCCCAGGAGAGGAATCCGATTTTGAGCTGATTTGGGGGGAGGAGTAAAGATGACCGGAATCGTAATCCCATCTAGGCCATCATGCAGCTAAAAACACTTAACAAATTAGCAGGATGTTGCGGTCATGCACGTGCAGGACGCCGTGGGCTTCAGCAGGCCTCTCAGCTGCTGCGGCACAGTTGGTATTGATTGCAGACGTAGTCTGCCTGCAGCTGCATATGCGGGGAAATCTCCCGTGCCAGTTCTGCGCATTAGCAATGCTGTGCACCTGTACTGAACCCCAGAAACCAACGGCTTTGTGACTAGAACCTGCAGCTGAGCATGAAGACTGAAAGTGAGCTGGAGATGCTGAGGGGTGTGTCAGCCCAGTGGCATGTGATTGAGTCTGATGGCCGTATCGCTCTTCTGGAATCTGAATTTTTGCTCTGAATAACACTGACGTGTGTCACCAATCATACGCAGGATGTCAAAAACATTCTATTGGCTGTGTGGATTCCTTCATCACGCAGGAAAAGTTTTAGCTGGTCATGAGTGGCTATTTCTAAATGTTTTGGTGGAGTTGTTCAAGAAAGTAACTTTCTCGAAATACTTTTTTGTCAGGAAGATTATTTGATTTGAGGACGGGAAAAAGCACACTGTTCTAATAATATAATATCTGGTTTTATGACGCATATAAAGGTGTGGAAAAATGTGTTTTTCCATTTTTCCATGTGTTTGTCGACTTTGTGTCCTGAGTAAATGAGTAACTGAATGGTTTGTCGTCTTCGAATTCCAGTTAAAATCGTGTGGCAACTCCGCAAACTCATCCACGACGTGATTTGGTCTGTGGGAGAAACTTCCACACGTGGTTTAGTGGTAACACCGGGTCCCGGGAAACGGACCTCCTGGCCCCGTACACACCTGGCGGCGGGACTCCCGGCTTGTGGGTTCCCAGGTGTGTGCGCACGAGTGCCGCAGGTGTGTGTGCGCTGCAGGTGCGAACGCCTGTATGAGGGTACCCAGGCAGCCCGGCCCATGGAGCGCAATAACCGTAAATCAGGCGGCGGAGCCATTTGGCCGGGGGGGGATTGGGGGGGGGGATGAAGGGCTTGTTATTACGCCACTAATGTCTACTGATGATGATGGCGACGACGATAATGATAATAGCGAGTGCAATATCAGACTTGGTGAAGGATTCCTGTGGCACAGTGCCCACGGCAAACCAGCTGTCGTGGAAGAGCAGCGTTCCGGAAGGCCGCAGAGGGCTGCTGTCTGTCTCGCTGCCCGGGGGATTCTTAGAGTGCACCCCCACTTCTGCATGTGGGGGCCCTCAGAAGTGTGATGTGCAGCGGTGCCCTGGCTCTACCCCCTGAAGGCGGACAGAAGCTACCCTTTCACTCAAATGTAGTGTAACTGAGTCGACGAACCAACCTCTAATTAAGACCCATTCTGTGCTTCTTTCAGGACCCCAGTCCCCCAAGGAGCAAGGTTTGGGGGTGTCTGTAACTAAAGAAAATGCTCTTATCATGTAGGTGCCCTAGAGGCTGTTTTTCCAGGGGGTTCTTGGGGGGGGTCTTTTTTGTTGATCTTCATGTTACAGTGATGTTTTCATTGTTGAATTCAAACATCAGCACTAAAAGGGCACTTCTGTATACCGCTATAGCTAAATGGAAATTTGGCTGTACTGTTCCAGGATCAGTTGTGAGCTGTATATTCAAGCATGTGAGATTTGTAATCTTACTTTTGTAAAGTTTTAATTGAAAACTTTTATGTGCAGCTGACAATATTGTTTCGATGGTGTGTGAGCCCTGTAATGGACAGGCATCCCGTCCAGCGTGTACCCCAGCGTGTACCCCAATGTGTACCCCAGCGTGTACCCCAGCTCAGTGTCCTTGACATTTCCTGGACAAACTGCTGATGGATTGGAGAATCAATGCAATACTGCTTTGGAAGATTCTTCAGCCTGCAACTTTTTATTGAAAAGAACTTTGACACAACCACATGCATTAATTTAATTATATACATTCCCAATACATGCTCTTTAAGTGGCTTGATAACTGGCTTTCCTGGGTTTGGGTGCCGTGTTCCAGTAGTATACCAGTTGGAGGTATTTTCAAAGGGAGATGCTCTGAAGCCAGTCCTCTATGACAAGGAAGTGGCTTGACCTTGAATTTGGTCCTCTGATTCAGGAAGGATGCATGTTAAAATGGTTATGTCAGAACTTGTAGTCTCCAGTCCAATGGATAAGTTTCATTGAGACAAATGTATGATTTTTAACTTGATATGTTTTAAGGTAATGCTTTATTGCCTGTTTTTATTCACAAAATCAAAAGTCAAAACAAAACATATAACTGTAAGAAATGTATGACGTGAGGCACCCGTTTCTTAAAGTCATGCAGTAGTCATCGTCAACCTGCCCTGCTGGTTGATAACCTCCCTGTCTCATGCATCCTGAGATTTTTCAATTGAACTTTTTGTTTTCTTGCCTTCATGAACGCCCCCCCCCCCCCCCCGTCACAGATGACTGCTTTGAGTATGAGTAATACACTAAACAGTCGAAAGAGAGAAGGACGACCGCGGCTGTCGTCAAGGTAAGCGAACCGTGAACGTTTTCACAATGTGTGTCATTAGCGGCTTAGATTTGTTTCGCCGAAACTCACCCAAGCGCTGTCTTCATGAGCCCTCAGGTATGAGGGGTGGGGTGGGGGGGTTTCCAAGATTGTGGCTTCTCCATTAATCACCAAGCTGTGAAATGTTAAGACAGTTGGGGAAATCTTAATCCTTGTAGTTGTGTTTGTCTGTGTGTGTGTTTTTTTTTGGAATCTAGCTAGCTAGACAGTTTTTAGGGTTACGATGCAATAGTCCCAGATATTGTTGAAAATCATGATAAGATTGACCCTTGTAGAACAACCATGAAGCACTATCAGACGAAAATGTATTTCTGAATTACCTTAGTCTTAGTGCTGTGAATTGTTCCTATGTGATGATGGTGCTGCACACCCCTTGAAAACAATGATGCAACTTGTATCCTGTAAGACCAACCAGTGGTCTCCGCAGCCTTGATTAAACAGCAGCGATCTGTCAGTTGCTCTCATAATTCTTGCTTCATCTCCTGCATCAGCTGCTCTTCCTGTGCCACCGTCATTGCCCTGAAATTGAAGACCAAACACCCCCAGTCTGGTCTGTAAATAAACAAAAAAAAAAAACACACACACCTCTTTATTGAAGTGTTCTGCCATATGTCACTATTGAGTGAGCACCGCTAAAGGCCTGCGGAGTAAACTGCTGTGAACTTTAATCGCGGCGCTAGGAGACTCTGAGTGAGAGCCCCCATAGCAGATCCGTCGTACAGATCCGTCTGCCAACACCCTTTGCTCTGTAGCGGCGTTGCTGAGCCAACGTGGGCCATAAAGGCGTGCTGACAGGTACGCGCTGAGGTAATCTCCGGAGATTTCGTGGCTTTCACGAAAAAAAAAAACCCCAAAATGCCCTCAGGCCGCCACGGGGATCGAACCAGGTGACCGCAGAGAGGAAGGTGCCAAGGGGGGAGGTGGGGTGACTTCAGTGAAACTTACGGGTCCGAGGTGTACTTTCTGTAAACATTCGGTTCGTATGGCGCAGCTGGAACTGTTTCCGGAAACTTTTGAAATCGTCGCCTTTTGAATTTATTTGCCGTATGTAAACTTGAGAGTAAGGCGGGGGTTGGGGGGGGGGGGCACAGCAGTGTTGTGAGAGCATTCGGGCAGCGGCGGTCGTCGCTGGGCAGCGGCAAAACTTCGTAATGCGCCAGAAAAGTGCGCGGGGGGGCTGTGTAATTGGAATTCCATCTGTTCGTGTTTTGCGGTCGATGGCCGCTCCATGGAAAATTGAGGAGGGTGCAGTGTGCCTCAAAATGGGTCCCCTGCCCCCCCCCAAAAAAAGAGAAGTAATCCCCCTTTGAGGCTGGACATGATCTCTGAACTCCTAACCAGAGCCCGTTGTTCCAGCACCCCCACTCTGGCCTCCCAGTTGGTCCTCCTTGTTGCCACCCCCCCCCCAATAGCGGTGGCTAATGAGTGAATCTGTTGCTATCAGTTCATCTGGCTTTCATTAAACGCGCCCCCCAGCTCTGAAGCGGCAAACTATGGCTTTAACATGTGTGTCTGTGTGTTTTATTGTAAAAAAAAAAAAAAAAATGTAATCCTTCAGTTACCATTAGATGTATTCATCCAAACATGAAAAAGAATTCACTTGGGTATCAGAATCAAAGGTCTGGATGGTGAAACCATGAAACCGCAGCACAATAATTACCCCAGAGCACATTAATCTTCAGTGAGAGGGAATATCATAATTGCATATTTTAGGCTTTAGCTGTATAGTACTCGACTGCACTAATGTGCCCTAGCAGACATACAGTATATAGCGACACGTACTGTAGACCATAGTTGTTTTGTCAGTCCAAACTTAGTCAGTCTGCAGGCACGATCGCTTCTTATTGCTGTTGGCTATTGTCAGCAGTTTTGCTTCCTTGGTGTTGGTGATGAGTATTGGCCAGCATAGTCCAGAGCAGCCTTAAAATCCATATTTGGCCAACAGCATAGCCAATGGGAGTAAGGGGGAAGGGGAGCACAGTCACATGACCAGGCAAATTAGCAGTTCTAGGTTAAGTTACACAAGACACGGACAGATGCAAATAGGCTTCAGTGGGCCGAAGTGAAATTCCATAATGCAAATCTACTGATATGAGTAGCGCTGAAATGGGAGATGCGACTCCATAGTTATGAGGCTCCAGAATTTTCACAAGCGTTCGACAGTCCTGACATCTGGAGTATTTTGGATATGGTAGTAAAATGTGTTCACAAGCAAGGTTAAGTGTTTGTGTGAATCCAGGTGAGCAGGACAGGTGTGGGTCAGATAGAAAGCTTAGCCAAATGTCTGGCCGCAGAAGAGAGCATTGTTTGTCGAACAACATACATAGCAAATTATTACAGAAATAAGAAGTTAGGTACCCCCCCCCTCTCCCATGTCCCAGTCGTGAGATGCTCATATTTAAAATTTGGAGTTTAGAACTGATGCCTTGTTTCCAGTAAAAAGCCGTTCTTAAAATGTTAAAATGCCAGTCAATCTATTTATGGCGTATTTTTCCATTATCTGTAAATTATAAAATTAAAAATGCTGAGTACTTGTTAGCTGAGAATGGACTGGAACTCAGATTAGGGATGAATTTGCATACAGAATGGGAGTGGAAAATTGAATCTTTTCTCCACATGCATCAGTTTAGATGGAAGTTTACATTGTGCAGAGTGCTAATATTATTTAATAATTTATTTTCCACCTTTGATACTTTGTTGATATTCCCGACAAACAGTGTTGACTCCGGGGAGATAGCGGCAGCAGATTGGCAAACGAGGGGGAATGATTTGTGTTTCAACATCTCAAATCGTCCAAAAATAAACACTCTGTGAGTCAGGGAGGGTAGGCGAGCATGTACACACAAGTCCGATGACAAGGGGGGGTGTTGGGGGGGGGGGGGGGGCGGTTAGTGTGTGTGAAATGCCTGTCACGCACGCGCCTGTGTGCGTGTGTGTGTGTGTGTGCGTGTGTCTGTGATCTAGGTGTACATTACATTGTGGGGACCTAATGACTCAACAATGTGATTAAAACCTGCTATTGTGATGTTGTTTCTCCCCAAATGGAGAAATTCAAATTTATAAAAATCTGTGACTGCAATCAAAAAACTAAAAATGCCAGAAGTCTCATATTTAGTTTGGTTACTTATGGTTAAGGTTAGGGCTGGGTAGGGGTTAAGGTCATCATGTTGGGATTAGAGCTTTCCCCATAGAAATGAATGAAGAGTCCCCACAAAGATATGAGTACTGGTCACTCTCCCTCTCTCTCTCTCGCTCTCTCTCTCTCTTTCTGTGTGTGTGTGTGTAAACACACAGAGCTATTAAAATGCATTGTGTTTACTGTGCCCTCTAGCTATTATGGAAATGACAGAGTTTAATTGGCAGCTGTAAGCGATAGCACCTGCAGACAGCTCCAGTCCTGTTCCTGCGGACTGGCCACATTCCTGCTTTATGTTTTAAATAAAGACTGCTCATTCAGCTGGAAAAAAAAACAGTCGGACGTGGGGGGGGGGGGCACTGACAGCGAGTGATTGATGATTACCCATCAGCTTGCGCCCGACAGTCGCTGCTCGGCCGCCCGCTGTGCAACAAAGTGACCCCTGTCTAGCTCCTGCTCCGTCAGCCCTCCTGGCCCCGCCCTCGCACGGCCCAGCCCCGTGTTTCCGAGGAGGGGCTCCCCGCGTCCCTGGGGCAAGTCGGGCACGGCTGATGGGGACAGTCTGGGCCTCTGTGACAGTTGGGTCCAAAGCTGCCTTCATGCAAGCAGGATCTTCAAAAAACATCACAAAGAATGATAAACGGCAGTACAAAAGTATCAACAAAGTATGCTGAAAGTGATCAGTGGAGCGAATTATGGAGTCTGGAACTCCGGACAGCAAAGAATTAACCCTGTCCATCAAAATCTCATCAGATACACATACAGAACCGTTAATGTTCCAGCAACTTGGCATCAGCATGAATTATGATGCTTAGATTATTCTCTGCTACAAGAAAAATGTACAAAAAGAAATAATTTTTGTTGTGTTTAATCCCTACCCTGTTTTTTGCTCTCTGTTGTTCTTCCTTTGTTCCCACCCCCACCCAACGTGATCGGAGATGCTCTGTGTGTTGCAGCTGTACTGTACTTCACACTGGAGTATATGCTTCCCATTGGGTCCTGCTGCTGTGACTGATGGTGTGATACGCAGAGCTGAATGTTAGATCCACGTCAACTTCTGCACGTGAGTCCCTCTGCGGGATCAGAACCTAGTGGCTCTGACTAACCCCCATTCCTCAGGATCCTCTCCTCGGAGTTATTACCCCGACCGCCCCGTGCCGAGGTGAAAATGTCTGACTTGGTTTTGAAGCCCGTCGGAAAGGGGGGGGGGGCACCGCTGATCCCACATTGTCCCCGAAGTTCTTCCCAGCAGCCTGTCGGCCTTGGGAACCGTGATTTAGCGATGATTTCGTGTCAGACCCAGCAGTAATGACAGGTTCATTTCCGTCCTGGCAGGGTTGGTAAAGTGCAGAATATTCAGAGAGGCCCAAACTCATCAGCAGGGAGTTAAATCAATACCCCTGTTCTGTCTGGTTGCCAGGACAAAGCCTGCACCGTAAGATAGGATGTGTCAAAGGCTCATGGCAATTATTATGGGCTTCTAATATAGTCATAGTTGTTCTCCCACTATTATTTAATTAGTTTTAATAATTCCTAATCGATTTCCTGATATTATGCATTTTTTATGTATCAGTTACAATATCCTGCAATGTATTTTTTTCTTTTTTAAACTTTAAACTCCAGACATGCTGAGGTGGCAGCGGGATGCAGTCGAGTTTTCTGAAAGATTCATAGCTCCGAGTCGCGGGGAAACGAGGAGCAACTCAGAGGTGTGTAGTGTCTGAATTATGAATGAGCCCTTTTTCAATGTTGGATTCAACAACGTACAGGGGGGAAGGATTCGGGCTTCTTTAATCCCCCCGTTACTCCTTTTATAACTTCACATACCTTTGAACTGCATTGAACAAAATATATGTAATGTATAAAACAAACCGGCAAGTTTCTACTTTTGTTGGGGGGAGTCTGAAAGGGGTGCGTTCCGAGCCCTTGGTTCAGTGACGTACTTGTCTCGATGTGTTCAGATGGTTTCTCTTTGCAAGGAAAGTAAAAATAAAACAAACAGGCTTGGGCCTGTGAAGACCCCCCCCCATCCATGTTTCGGGGTAGGGTGTTATGTTATTGTCTCAGGCCCCAGGGAAGACTGGCAATCCAGGTCCCCTCCGCAGCTCAGCCAGGAACACAGCCTTCGATTGTTCACTCTGTGAAAAGCGCCGTTTGCGGGCTCCCTGTTTCCTCTCCATTTTAAATGAGCCTCCAGCTGGTTCGCTCGTTATACAAATGCTATACTGGGGTGAACTTTTTCTTTTTTGGGGTCCGTGTTGCCTGAGGCTGTGCTTCCCGGTTGGGGTTCCCATGTTGACGTTCTCGCAAAGTGTGTATGTTCGTGCTCCCTGTAAAGCGGCCTGACTTCACTTTCCATGAGGCCGAAGTTACTTTCTGCGAGTCAAACTTGCGGGGGGAAGAAAGAAAACTTCAACGCACTTTACCGAACAATAATTAATGATTGAAAATATGTGTGGGAACACCGATCGATATTGTGAGTTCGAGGTTTTTCGGAGAGCAAATATATTTCCATGTCGGTAGTATCATTAACCAAACACAAATGTGACTATAAACCCTGGTGCTTCGCGGCCAAATGGCTATAGGATGCATGTAATTGTAATAAGCACTTAATTGACTAGCAAGAGCTAAGATAGGGTGACTTTTAAATAATAAGAAATTAACATTAAAGCAAGTCCCAGTAATGGTGGTCATTAATACCCAGGGGTCCAAACGGTTTGATGTAGGGTTATATATACTGCAGTGTGAGTTTGTAGTGACAGAAAGAAAACTTTAGTTTTTTGTTTATTTAATTCTTTGCTTCCTTCTCCATGTTGCCACCCCCTTTCTGGTTTTTCTTCTTGGATCCCTTGTTCCGCTGCTGGAGAAGCTGCTCACAGAGCTGCAATAGTGACATCTAGTGTGTGTGCCGTTCCTGGGTGCCTGTACTGGCGGGTGGGAGATCCTGGCCTCCTGAGAAGGCCAGGCGCGTTGCTTTTGGCCCCTCCCCCCCCCGGACGTGCGTTACCGCGGATACTGGTCTTCCGACTGCTGCGGGCACAGGGCGGGAAAAAAAGATATTGCCAGAGGTTGTGTATCTTTTCTGTTTTCTTGGTTTGTGGTCTTGTCTAAAAATAAATATAGGAACTGCAATTTTTCAAGATAAAAAAGAATGACTAATTTATCTTGACATGGGTTCCTTTCAGGAACTCTGTGTAATATGGCAATAAGGCTACCTGATTTATGGCTGAACAAAACCGTTTGCACAGGACTGTTCATGTCGCAGCTTGATATATGCTTGCTTAATGGAATAATATCCTAATTTATGTGTGTTTTGAAACCCGCAAAATAAACTCCATTCAGATAAGTCGCGAGCTTTTGGCACTGGATGGGTGGAAAAACGACAAGTAGCCAATCAAGCGTGGGCTTGCAGCCGCGGCTCTGAAACGTGCACGTAGGACATGGACACTTGCAGCGTTATCATCAGGACCGTTTCGTTTAGTACAGCTCAAGCCGTATTGACAGATGAGACTTATGGTTGGGTTGAGGTTTGCCTGTAAGAACTTCAAGAAGATCTTACGGGTGGCTGCGGGAGGACGTTGAGTTTTTGAGAACATCATTCTACTGCAGGGATCTTGAGTGGGTATAACACGGTGTCATTTGTTTCAGTGAGAAATGGCTCATTGGGGTTGAGAAATAGGGATGAGAGGATGCTTTCATTACATGCAGTATTTAATGTGTAAAGTCGTTTTTTTATGATTAATTTGAGCATAAGGAGTGTTGTGTGGCAGGTCCACCTGACCAACTGTCATCAAGACGGCTACTGGATGTGACCCCAGAAACCATGTGAGCGAGGAGGCTGTAGGATTGTGTTGGAAGCGCTCATGAGTGGGGGGGGGGGAGTGTTTCTGAGTGTCTCGCAAACTTTCACAACAGTACGAAAAGATGCAGGCGATGACAGCTGGTCTCGTCGGCTGTGTATTCTGCTTGCTTTAAGATAACGCTAATCTCTGCTGTCAGGGTGTTTGGGGATATGCCTGTCTCTCTTTCACTCTCATACTTCTGTGATCGACCCGTGGCTTTGTTCAAACACACCGTTCAGGGTGTCCTCTTGTTGTTTGCTTTGGGAAGACATGAGGGACCAGGCCTGGCCAATCGGATCTGCGGCGTGGGAAAACAGACACTGGTTCTTGTCTTTCCAGTGTCGTTCGAAGAGCCGGGCTGCGGGGTATAAAGGGACCAATCCTCAGTATCCTGGCATCGGTGAACAGTGCGGTCCAATGTCGACTTCCACACAGGAGCTGGTGAGGAATGTGAGAAGAAGCAGAAGTGCAGGTGCTTCAGAAGGTTCCCCTTGTTAAGCCCGATAGAGATGCTGCAGGCTGGCCTCTGCAATAGCAGGTTCACATTTGAAATGTGTCAAAGATGCTTTTAGAATCCTGCTGCTCATAGTGGAAGTCAGTGATGTGTGACCCCCAACAATGGAGCCAACTTGTTTGGAAAGCTTCTACATTCAAGTTTCGAAAAAGTTACTCTCGGTACTTTTGAGAGCAAACTGGCTCGCAGCAGAAGATCCTCACTGCAGGCAGGCAGAAAAGCGTTGCGGAACACAGGGAGAAACACGTATCGATATTTCAAACGCGTGATCACTACACGAGCTGGGTGTAGTTCTAGCCCTTGTTACACAGTGATTTTAGCCTCTCTTAATGGTGCCTTTTAGCAGACGGTCTTTTCATCCGTCATTAAGCAGAAGCTGGGATAGTTGTGGGTTGATTTACCTGTGGAACACACAGGCGTGCAAATAGACTCGCAAACACACACACACACACACATGTAGGGTATACATATCCTTATGAGGACCGCTCATTCATTTCAATGGGAAAAATGCTAACGCTAACTATGACAACCTTAAACCCTACCCTGCCCTAACCATAACCATAAGTAACCTAACAAAATACAAGAGTTTTCGCATTTTTAGTTTTTTCATAGCAGTCACCGATTTTTATAAAATAGAGTTTTCCCTTATGGGGACCAGGAAACCAGTCCCCATAAGGGAAAAAAAACGGATATTTATCACGTTATGGGGACATTATAGTCAAACCCGCTCACACACACACAATAGGATAGGCAAACCCGCTCACACACACACACACACACACACACACAGCCCCTTGAGGTTTACCACCCTGAATGCGTTCAGGCAAGCCATATATGTATATGTGTGAAATGTCTGCATTTCAGTTTGGACAGTGTTACTGTTTTTGGAATTTATGCGGCATTTGCACATGGAAAGTTTAGCATGAAGCTTGACATGTGTCTGGTTTATTAATATCTTATGTAATATCAGTCAATATAATGAGTCATGTACAACCACTCCTCATTTAGCAACCGAGTTCCAGCAACCAGATCATTAAGTGAAATGTTTGCTGAAGTGCAAATCATGGTAGCTTGGGTGAGTCCCCGACCGCGCTTACGACTTTACGTCAGACTTCCACACTCAATTTCTTTAATCCTTCATGAACTGGACATTTTTAACAACATTTTTTACACTCTACTTAAAAGATCTCTCTGTCTCTGCAGCAAACGTTGTTGTCAGGCTTACGAGATTTGCTTGTAAATGCGTGCATTGGTCGGAAAATGAATTTTTTATTACATTCATATTTGCGAATGTTCGCTGACTGAGGTAGTTTCTAGACAAGAAGCGGTTGTACCAAAATAAAAAACATACTGGCCACTAGAGGTGATCAGGGGTCCCAGGTTTGAAGGGACCCACCTGCTCATCAGATCCAGGATCTGAAGTCCTTACCAGCTACTTCTACATTTTCACCTGAACATCAATACCAGAGAGCCCAGCTCTGTGGGATGTCACAGGAGCAGTGGGACAGCCAGAGGACAGAAGGGGGTATTTCTGGACATCACCCAAGCATCAAAACAACATATTGCACCTTATCTAAGTTTGCTAAGAAAATATTTAGAATGATGACACCTTTACATGGTGCTGCACAAAGGGGCCAAAGAGAAAAAAAATCCAGGAGAACTTTCCGGTCAAGGGTAAACTCGCAAGTGAGGAATGTGCTGGCCGTGCAGAGAGCCAAAACACACTCCTCTGCTGAGCACCAAACATGGTGGGGAAGATGGTGCATCCATCACGTCACAGATAGATGTTAGCATAACCTTTCAGAGACACCTTTTAATTTTCTCCTCTCCGTTTTTGGTGGATGGAAACTCAACACTCCCTCTACATGTCTTTTTTTTTTTTTTTCTTTTTCACCTGGTTGTCGTGGCAACCCACCAAAAACAGGAAAGTCCATGAATGACATTCCAGCCGTCATTGATTGCTCCTGACAAAGGCTGACTGTTGTGGTGCGTCTGGTCTGGGGAGACCTAGGCGTGCAATGGGGGTGGGGTTGGGGGGGGGGGTGGCTCTGGGACCTGTCCACACCTCCACCCCAGCGCTAAGCCTTATTTAACACTAGTTGCTATAGATAAAGTTTAAAGTAAAGATTAGTCCGTCAGGCCCTGGAGGAAGATGCTCAAACTAATTGGTTCCAGGATAACTAAAAATCATATTATGTGACCCCCCCTGTGTGCGCTATGCCGTAATGGGAATGAAATGTAATGGACATGTAGGTTTTCTCGGCGCAACTGGGGGAGACCTCCCCCTAGCAGGCAATAAGACTCTCCATAATCCCCTTATTTGAATACATAAATGTTAATGAAGCATGAAGGAATAGGGCTGCCTGCCATAAGGACCTGAGCGCCAGTATCCAAAATTTTAGGTGTCTGGTTCAGATTTGTGCCCCACGTTTGTTCAGGGCTGAGGCTTGGGGTTCAAAGGACGGCCGTGGGGAGGTGGGATTGCGGCCGGGGGAACCCCCCCTGAAGGAAAGCATCGGTCCGTAATGCGGATCATTGGTGATGAAATGTGAATGACCCCGGCAAGAAAGACCAATGAATTTAATCATTTCGAAAACCAATTTTTTTTCCTTAGTATCATATAATTGTTTCCCCTTATCCTCCTGTGTTTGGGTTTTACTGAACCATGTCATAATATCAGACCATTAGTTTGTGTGGTGTAACTTCGGTAGAGTACCGTTGCCAACCAATAGGGTTCGAGATAAGGCAACTGGTCGGATCTGGTGAGGCGTGATGATTGACGTGAATGAAGCGGATATATCAGCTAATTTGCAGGGAATGTGAACCGGCGCTGGAGGTGGCTGATCCATTTGCTCGCCATGTCCCCCCCCACCATCCGAATTCCAGCCCTTCCTCATCTGTCAGCCCTCCATAATTTGGGCCACCACACCGCTCTGATGTTCGGCTCGACTTGTGAAACCTGTTGACGGGGAATGAGGTGACTGGGGGGTAAGGAGGAAGCTGAGGTGGAAAATTAGACCCGAGTTGGAGGCGGAGCTTACCACCTGTTCGACAATGACTAAGTCTGTCTCGCTCAAATCATTGGTGGTAATGGCTTCCTGGCAGAGCCCGTCCATGCCCACCAGCCTGAGGTGCTAATCCATTCCAGGGCAGGCATATTTATACACTGCTATGTCTGTAATTTTAAAGATACCTGCCTTGGGGGGTTGTGCCCCCCCCCTCGTTTCCAGTTTCCCTGATTTACCATAAGCAATATGTTATGACTTCCTTATTTTCTCCTGTGGGACAGCTGCTGACAGTAAATCTCTATTACCAATATTCCTCCATATGGTTGCATGAAAATTTTATTGCGCAGAGCCTGAGGCTGAAGGTCACAACTGAGGAGCTGTGGTTTAACTGCAGCAGGTTTTTAACTTTTTTTTTTTTTTTTTTTTTTTTTTTTGGGGGGGGGGGGGGGGGGGGGGGGGGGGGGGGGGTGACTTGTGTCTCAAACCATCCAATTGGTGCAGGCCACAGCTAGGCGTTGGCTAAAAATCAGGCCTGCTAAAGTCGATCTCTACCTGATTGGTCCTTGTGCATTTTCTCATTTTGTGATGCTGTGAAGGCAGTCGCCCAATGCGCACAATGCGCACAAAGCACGCGCACCCACTCTCACACACACACGCACACACGCGCTGCTGAATCCTAGTCTCCCTGTCGATATGAGTCTTGCGTAACTCCATCATGATGGCATCTGCAGATGTCGGCCTGTATGCCGGACCGCCAGCACTCAGCACCGCCCCCCAGCCTTGTACTTTGTGAGGATTTATCTTTAAATCATCTCTCCCCCGGTTTATGGGCCCAATTAGAACTTTCTTGTTAAATCTCTGCAGCGGTGGGAACGTCGAGCTGTTGACAGTTCTCACTCTCAAATGCGGCTCCTTTAATGGGAATAACAGTGCCGCTGGCAAAGCCGTCGCCCGCCGGGCAGAGGGGGATTGTTTGGTGTGGCGCGGTGGTCTCCCAGGTGATGGCCGCTGTCTGGTAGCGGTGGCCGCCGGGAGGGGTTGGCGTTAATCACGGCTCTTCGAGTCGCGCATTCTCTCCCGCTTTCCCACGTAGCTACATGGCGGCATGTTCCGCGCGACTCGCCAACCATCACAGCCCCCCCCCCCCCCCCCCCCCCCCNGATGGCATCTGGTCTCGGATTCTCGGGAAAAGCGACTTCGCTGATTCCAGAGGTCCCAGGGCAGTGAGATGGCTGGTGCCCGATTGCGTATGTTTGATCCAGGGACACAAGAATGATCTTCCATTCAGGATGTTGGTCGGTAATGCGAGGGAGAGGGGCATGTTGGGAAAGCAGCAGTTCAGGCGAGCTGTGGGTGTCTGGGCCATCATCCAGTAATTGCTATCTTACCCTAAGCCTGTTGTATAAAGATGAACCAAAGTCATGAGCAAGAGTAGTTGTAATATTACTGTGTGTTGCTCAGCGGGTTCGGATGCTGTACTTGTGATCGGAAGGCTGCCGGTTCTAGTCCCAGGCTCCTTTTTGAACCTGCTTTCTCAAAAAAAAAAGTGGACATTTGTACATAAAGTGTGAATATACTACTAGTAGCAGCAATAGCAGTAATGATATTACAAGGGAACATCCATCGTACTGAGCACAGGCTAGATGAGGGAGGAGCTCTCTTGGTTAGATGCGGTCTGTTGGCAGGCTTCCAGATCCGTCACCTTCCTGGCCACCCTCCAGTTACAGCGTGATGCGACTTCCCGAGCAAAGCAGATAGTGACAACATCCTGGTTACTTGGGAAGAAAATAAATCCATCTGTTTGGGGTTCTGCCATTCGCAGGCCTCTGTTTAACCCTTAGTAGGGGAACAGAGAGTCTCCCTCTCCTGTAGCCCCTGCCACAACCCCCCCCCCCCCCCCACGACAGTCGCCATCTGTGTCACACATTAGTCACCAGGTGATCAGCGTGTGCTCCGTGAAGAAATACTTTGCACATAATAAACACCTCGAAACGCCACTGTGTCCAACAGCAGCTATGGGGTCTTTGCTGCAAAGAGGAGAATGGGGGCGACTGGACCAGTGGGGTTTCCCACTTTGCGGTCTGAGGCACGAACT